TAAAAGAGATTAAAAATTATTTTTATGAAATTCAAACCTTATATACATTTTTATATAAATTACTTTTTTTATATAAATAAACATTAATTTCATCACTTAATTATAGGAACCAGATTCAGATTATATGAATCACGAAGTCCTTCTAGATTCTGTGATGGATACTGATGACCCACTTTACATCAAGCAAGAAGATGAGAGTTATCTGGATTCCCCAGACTTAAATATTAAGGCTCACATTATTTCTTAATTTTACTCAAATATTTTTTTTAATTATAATTTTGAATGAAATCTTTGTTTTATGTTGAAATTATGATATGGTAATTATACTATATATAGTACAGTAGTATAGGTATATAAAATAATCTTTTGTACTTTCTCTCAGTAGCAATAAATTTTGATGATTGGTTTATCAAGCAAAAGGGAATTTCATGGAGAAGTAATAAGTCCTAATTTCAAAACGTAAAACTATAATAAAATTCATAGGAAAAAATAGCTATTTTTTAATATTGCTCAACTATTAAACTGTTATGGATATTTTCCAGTGGGATAAACTGATTAAGTAAATTGTTACTTTAACATTCATGGTAAAGTATGAAACTTCACTTGTGTGTGTAGAATTGAAGATTATCTATAAGATCACTATCTTTACATACAATATAATGTATGTAAAGATAGTGAATGCACTATTATAATAGATTATCGTATATTGTATGTAAAGATGGTGAATACACTATTGTAATCCCACTCCACAAGAAAGAAAGCCAGGCAGAGAATTTTACATTGCTTTACTGAGTTTAATCAAAACCGTTAGAGCTGTTTTTGACAAAATCATAGAATTATGTAAAATCAATAATATCAAGTGACACTTCCGGTTGGTCAGATTTCAGAATAATGTTGCTGTAACATCCCAGGCATATCTATCTTAAATACGTAATCTCAGTTTCGTAGGAACTTTTGTTTTTGAGATAAATTGTTCACATAAACACACACATACGCAGACCATTTGGGGGGACTTGATTATTTTGATTGAGGGGACCTGCAACATGTATTTCCACTGAAAATTCAGATTCAAAAATCTCCTCGAGTGCTACAATTTTCCTTATTATATATTACATTTATAGATAAGTGAAAGTAAAAATGAGTCTTGACAATTAATGAACAGAATCTGCTCCATTCCTGTTGATAGAGACATCAAGCAGAGGGAAAGAATCAGCCCATTATTATTTATTATTTTAAGGATGAGATGCATGCCCATCTCTCTTGTTAGCTGATGGTATTGTGATATGATATTCATATGAATGAATGAGTATTTTATTTGTTTTCGGGGAATACCCCATACAAATAGAGTTGACCATATGATAACAATGAACATAATAAATTAATATGGAAACAATTTACAACTTATATACAAAGTAAAATTCAGTGACAATGTTTCCTCCTAATAACAACCAAGCACCTGCCTTTACTATTTTGGGAGGGGGGGAGGGGTCTTCAGCCCGAAAGTTTCCCCTCCCCCCATAGATCCGCCTGTGCTAAACACTGTGCAGTATGTGTAGTTAGAAGCACGGGCGGATCTACTGGAGAGATTTGGGCTGAAGCCCTCTCCCCAAAAAATGGTAAAATATAATCATGTTTTATGAAAAAAATTATCTCTAAAACTATTATTGTTCGTCTAATTACAGTTAATAGGACTTAAATAATCACTTAAAGGTCATTTCATATAGGTAGTTAGTTTCTTTCTTCCGAAGTAATTATCCTAATATATTAATAAAAAAAAAATTTGTGCTGAAGCCCCTCCCCAAAAATTAAATCCTAGATCCGTTAGTGGTTAGAAGGTTTCAGAATTAATATGCCGATATCTACAGCCTCGCCTCAATTAGTTTTGAGGAAGTTTCTATTTCCATTTCTGAAATTTCGAGTACTGACCCAAAGGCCGAATTTTTAGAGGAGATAAAGATATTCGTCAGCTGGACTCACTAGGTTATTATAGCTTAACCCGACATTTTACTACAAATAGCCACATGTTCATTATCTAATTCGCTCAAACTCACCGCCAAATTCTAGTGTTCAATTAGTTCCAAACGTTGCGACAGTCGTAGAAGAGAACGGAAATGGTCTGCCTTGCCTGCATCTTCATGTTCGTGATGAGCCTCGCGAGCAGCGTGATCGTCCTCGTCCTTCCGGTCCTGAGCTGGCTCAAGTTCTGGCCCGTGGCTCAGGATGCCAGCGCCGTCCGGGGCATCGCCCCCGCCAGGCCCAAGTCCAGGAGGTGAGGTGTCCGCGGTCTTCCGTCCACCGTCTTCCATCTTGTAATACATTGTGTCCATCAAGTGTCAATGTCTTTTTCTTTACAAGTAGAAGAGTATCTTTAGGAACTAGTGACTAGTAAAAGTTAGTATCTTTTAGCAAAAAAATTACTATCGCTTATGTATATATAAAATAAGCAGTATTGGGATTGTAAAAATCTTTTGAATCCTAGCTTTCAACGGAAATGTACCTTATAAGATCCTGAGTACAAATAACAAAGTTTCGTAAAGTGGCCTGAGTGTACAGTGAACGGCCTAGCTCGGAGGTTGCTTTGGGACAATTTTCAAAGTTTTAAATTGCTTCTATCTTTATTTTAAAAGTTAAAATGCTGAAAAAATTATTAATAAGTAAGGTCACTCTTCCTTTTACAAAATATGGCAGAACAAAAACTCTAGAAACAAGAATAAATTAAATAATGCGAAATGATTAACTTTTTAAAATAAACCCATATTAAAGATACTTCATAGGAAGAGATATATGAACATTGGGCACTTAAGCCCTGTAAAGTGACATCAACGGGGATAAGACCTCAATGATGTCAAAGACCACTTAATTATACAATGATACACCGAGTTTAATCAAAATCATCAGAGCCGTTTTGAGAAAATTGTAAAAATGTGTTTCAGCGTTGATATAAAGTGGCACTTCCAGTAAGCCGATTTTAACGAAAACGTTGCTGTCACATCCGGCCGATATACAAACCTTAAATACTTAATATCAGTTTCGTACTACTTTTCGTTTATGAGCTAAGGCTGTTAAAACACACACACAGACCATTTTGTGACACTTGGTTATTTGGACTCAGGGGACCTCAAAACATGTATTTCCGTTGAAAACTGAGATTTGAAAATTTTCACGATCTCAATACTTACCCTTACTACATATTACATATATACGTAAGTGAAAGTTAAAACAAATTAATTTGTCCTAATCTTACCCTATTGATTGGGGTAAAATTGGGACAGTGCATTTTCTTCATTAAAAACTACAGGAAACATGATTTTGCACCAATGTTATCCCACAGCATTGTATAGGCTCATTATTTACATAATGAGTGTGTAACAATTTTACTATATTTAAGAGCACATGATAACAATAAATCCGTATTAATGGTACAAAAGATTGTAAATCATAATATATCATTTGCAGAATAGAAAGAAAAACCAGTACATCTGGTTTTTCAATCTCTTCTGGGTCGAGGTTCTCAGTGTCTTTTCCGTTTGTTGGGCCCCTTGATTGAGAAGCTCCTAGAAATGTTCTCTCCAGATGCTCAATATCTATTCTTTAAATTCTGTCAGAATGCTAATTTTCCCCTCACATATGCATATTCCTTGTTTTATATTAAATCCTTCTTCCTTAATGTTTGCGCCTGTGTAATTATCCAGAGTAGCTAGATCAGTTATAGTTAGGGAGAGGACTTTCACTTTTCTTCTTTCCTGAACAGTCTTTTCGCATGATTCTGTGAATCACTTCTTAGTTTTTCGTTTCTCCTGAATACTTATCACTTGCTTAGCTGTTTCTTTAAGCCCCGTCTCTCTATTATCTCCCAGTATAAGTGTCCACCCTGAGGCTTTCTGAATCCAATTGTTCGAATTTGTTCTTCAGCTTAAGTTGAAATTTGGTTTTTACTTCAGAATTTTTCAAATTACAGACTTAGTATCTTCTTCTTTCCACTTGATCCTCTGTTTTGTGAATTAACTTCAGTCTCTGGATTTAGTTGAATTCTAATCAGAGAGTGATCCGAATCATAATCTGCTCCAGGATGTGCCCGAGTAAGAACATTGCACAGTTCAGGACCAAAATTTAGCTGCTGCCAGACCGATATATCTCACTCCATTGTCATTGCTATTTACTTGAATGCTTTGGCCTCCGATAATCGGCCTACTTTCTCTATCTTGGCATTGAAGTCATCTATGATTAATTTTATGTCATACGAGTATCTATGAGCATAGACTGCAGTCTTTTTTAACTGATCATAGAAATCATTGTTCATCTTTGCCTCAGTTGGTGCATTCACCTTATCATGATTTTTTGATCTTTAAATCCTATTAAATGTAATTAGACGAACAGTAATACTTTAGAGATAATTATTTTCATAAAACTTGGTTATATTTTACCATTTTGTGGGGCTTTCGGGCTGAAGCTCCTCCCCTCTCCAAAATGGTAAAATAACAATTTTTTTATGAAAAAAATTACCTCTAAAGTATTACTGTTCATCTAATTACATTTAATTGGATTTAAAGAATTACTTAAACACCATTTCATAAAGGTACTTAGTTTTTTCTTTATCCGAAGTAATTATCATAATGTATACATTAAAAAAAATCTTTTAGGGTGAAGCTGCCCTCCCCCAAAATTAAATCATAGCTACGTTAGTGCCCGGAGTAGAATAGTCCATTGCTGTCGGTAATGGTTTCACCACCTTCTAGCCTCCTTACCTGTTTAATGTTATGTTATATCTTTTTAGTTCTTTTACTACAGTTTTTGCAAGTCCTGGTCTCTGTAAGCTAGGCACGCTCCAAGATCTGATGCATTGTCTGTTCCAAAATCCGTGTATTTTTGGAGGGCCCCTTAACTCGCTTGACCACGATGGCCCCCCTTAATCCAAATCATATCACTGAAAAAATAAATAAAAAGGGAAAAGAAAAAAATTAAGAGCTATAAAAAGGAAGTCAAAAAAATAAGGAATCATTCTTTAAAATTGTTTACGATTTTTTTTTTATTTCAAATATTTATTCGCATAATATTTAAAACATTTATATATAAACTTTTTTTTGTATTTTTAAGGATTTGAATTTATAAAAACCTTCACAATTCACAATGCATTGACATGAAACAATAGAATTTTAAACAAACTGAAGCTATACAAGAGATTAACAAATGTAACATAACAAGAATAAAATATAAATAATAATATAATAAAATATTGAATGATAATTTAAAATGTCCAAAAAGGAAAAAAAAAAATAAACAAATAAATGTTTTTGTTAACATCACGATGTAGTTGAGTTGAGGTGCAGTAAACCCAAATTATTCTCTAATGAGTCAAGAGCCTCATCATTTTTTCCTCTAGCATCACGATACCTGTACAAAATAAAAAACAATTTAATTTACATTATGAATATAACTTATCTTAGACATTAATTGGACTAAGTGAAAAAAATAACCAAATTTGTTCATTATTTAGTGTTCAACAGATTTGCTCAAAAAATTAATTTTGATTTTTCAATTAAGACATAATATGAATAAATACTTCATATCTCATATCAAGAATTTTTAAGTTCGCATCACGCACTTGTTGGATGTTTAACGAAAGCCATCCTTTTCGATTCCGAAAGAGTTTGGCATAAACTACACCTGGAGACTGAATTTTAATATGGGTGCAGTCAATTGTACCAATTACTCCAGGAAAAGATCTGATTTTGTGGAAATTTCTGTTTATAACTCCATATGTTTCAGGTATTTTAATGAAATATTTTGATATTTTGGCAATTAATTTTGTTATACGAGAAATTATCCTCCTCACTCTAGATTTATCTACGGTTAATTAAATACGGTTGCCTAAAACTGTTTGAAAACTTTCAGTAGCATAATATATTTAAGTCACGGACGGATCTACGGGGGAGGGGGGGGGGGCTTTCGGGCTGAAGCCCCCCCCCCAAAATGGAAAAATATAACCATGTTTTATCGAACAAAATATTAAAAAAGTAACTCTTAAAGTATTATTGTTCGTGTGATTAATATTAAAAGGGCTTTAGGAATCACTTAAACACCATTTCATACAGATAGTTAGTTTCTTTTTTTTTTTCCAAAGTAATTATCATAATTTTTATGAAAAAAAAGCTTTCGGGCTGAAGCCTCCCCCAAAATTAAATCCTGGATCCGCTAGTGATTTAAGTTATGAGTTATGAGCAACTGGCATGAAGGTGTTACAGGAATATTTCTATTGTCGTGAAATGCTATATGATTGATCTCAAAAATGTCCATTAAATTAAGAACTGATTTGTTTGAAAACTTAAATCTTGATTTGAATTCAGATTCATCATAAAAATCAAAAGGATCATTCCTTACCCTGCACAATTTGTTTATAGGAAGCAGATTGATAAGATTTAATAAGTTTTGATCTGATGATAAACTTTCTTCTGAAGAATGTTCTTCAGATGAAATCATATTTGTAATCTTCTTGGAAAACGTAAAAAACAAAAACACAACACTAGTATTCTCAGAAGAAGCAAATATTAGTTTGCTGTTAGAAGTAACCATATGTAATGTTACACTTTAACATTGTTTAAAGATTTGATCATGGTATAACGTTGGATTAGTTTGTTGTGTTAACGCGGTGGTAAGACTAATGAAATGAAATGAAAAATAATTTTATTCTGGGACTGAAGTCTGGCATGTAAATTCATACAAAAATGTACAAAAAATACCTAGGAAATTGTAAGCACACACATATATATATATATATATATATATATATATATATATATATATATATATATATATATACACAAAGATACTAAGGAAAATATAAATATATTAAAAAAAAATATGAAGGAAAATATAAATATCTACAAAACATACTAACGATAAACACAGACATATACAATAAAATACTGAGATATAAAAAAATTAATAAATACAAATAAAATGACTTCTATCAATTAACTGGTGGTGACCAACATAATTATATAACCCAGAAATTTTTACAAGCTTGCGGAAGTTTGAATTTGTAGTAGGTGGTGGAATAGGAGTTGTTTGAAGGAGTTTATGGACATGGTTTGACATATGGTGATGGGTAAGGAGTTCCATAAGGAGGTAGCACGAATGACGAAGGATTTACTGAAGGAAGTGGTTTTATGGGAGAGGATATATAAATCTATAGGTTGAGATCTGGTATTGAGAGAGTGGATAGAGGAGTGTAAAGTAAGGAGTTCTAAGATGTAGGGAGGGTTTTTGCTTCTGAGAACTTGAAAAAGAAAAACACCAAGAAGGATTTCCCGTCGGGAAGTAGGATATAGCCACTTCAACTCTGTGTACCTACAAGAAATATGAGAACGCTCGGGAATCCCAAATATCAATCTTAATTCATATATGACTAATGTACATTGGTGCAACGAAAATTCTGTTAACAGTGTTAAACTAATCATGATTAGTATAATTAAAGTTAACAACGGCCCTAAATAGTAAAATCCAAGCAACATAATGAAATATTTTTCATAGGTCAATCATATACCTCTCGTTTATTTGCTTCAAAGCCCAGACACTTAATTGGTTTGCCTCTTTTTTTTTTGATGAGGTACACTTCTGAGATGCTGCGACATTAGCAGAACTCTAAAACCAAAATATGGACTAAGATTAGATTAATAACTTTTAATTAATTCAATCACTTAATCACTTTACAATAAGTTTAGACTAATAATATTACAAAATAAAATAAATGAATATCACAATAATATAAATGAGCTGTAGTGGTAAAACTTACAAGGAATATTCCATAAAGAGAGCGAATATTTTTAGGATTTAGTTTATAAGACTGGCAAAAATAAAGTCTAGCAATGTCCATATTCTCAAAACCACCCTGAAAAAGAAAATACAAACAACAACTAAAAATTAAATAATAATATTCTGAATACAAATACAAATACAAATACAAAAGTAAGACGGCAGACCTGAGTATACTTTATTTCAGCGAGGCGTTGGTGATAGAGGTGGTTGTGTGGGTTGTGGAGGAGGAGCTCCTCCATGCAAAAAGCAGCCTTTCCGTACTCCTGCTCGCAGAGGTAAAGTTCACACAGTTCTTGCCATGCCTCTTGGTCAACCATAAAACTAGAAAATACAATTAATCGGTAAAATAAAATTAACTAATAAAAAAATGTTGTTAGGAATGAAAGTATTTTTTGAGCAGCCAATTTTCACACAACAATGTTTGAACTGCAGATATTTCTCAATGATTCTAAGAACTTCAATGTCACAAATTTCACTTTGTAATTTATTTTCTAATATCTCACAATTAATAAACTATTATATTATAAAAAAAAAAAAAACACCAACAAGGCAGGATTAATAATATTAAATATAAATTATAAATAACAGCCCATTACATTATAGTATGCAGATCTGATTTTTAGTTTCTGAGATATTTTAATCCTTATCTTCAATAAAACTCGTTATTATTTTGTTTTAAACACTATTTTTCCCTTTCCAGCTCGGCTAAGATACGATTTTTAATAATAGTCGATTATAGAGACGATGAAACGCTGAACAGTTCGCTCACTTACAATATGTAGGTCCGATTTTTAGTTTCTGAGATATTTTAATCCATATCTTCAACAAAACGCATTATTATTTTTTGATTTTCGACACTGTTTTATCTTTTCCACCTTTCCAATACGGTGTTGTGTTAAGATTATACTCAATATATCAATGTACAATTTTTAATATAAGGCAGTGATTTTTAATATAAATCAGGTTTTATTCTAATTTATGTTCTCCAACAGGGCTTTTCTCTCTTTCTCTAGAGTACCTTTTATATTGTTTATTTTAAAAAAATAAATATTTCACACTGTAAGTAATGAACAAATAATAATGGTTAAATATAAACAAAACTAATTATTAACTAAAGGAGAAATAATGAGTGAACGACAATTGACGAAGAGGCTCGAGCGCTCAGGTTAATGTGGAGCTAAGAACTACCGAAGAAACTCGAGCGTGTCCTCGAGCTTGTGGAAAGGTTAAGTTCCATACATAACTAGTGTGTAAGCAGATATCATAGATGAGGGGCATTATGGGTTCCGATAACATTATTATAAATATAGTTTTCATAAATACTAGTGCTGGTATTATTTAATATTTAGTTGTATAGATCGTTAGTACAGTCAATGAATGCCCAAAAAGGTATTTTGAATGTGTGAGCAGGGACCTAAGCGATTCCTTCAAAAACTTGTTCTTGTTTTTTGAAAATGACAACATATTACGAAAAAATTTAAAATAGCTATAACTATAGACTGGTTGGAGATTAATTTGCATATGTATATATATTCTAATAGGGAATTTAGGTCCCTAAAGCTTCTTTTGAATTAATTTCTTTCACTGATGAATATCTTAGACGATATGAAAGAATGTTAGAAGAAAAATGTGAGGCAAAATGATTTTTTTTTTCAAAAATGTCATCTTTTTCAAGAGTGTAGCTCGAAAACAGTTTACAATTCGGATAAAACCTATAGAATAAAAGTTTTAGATTTTATAAACTTTAATTTACTATACGAACAATTTCTCCTATGATGCACAGTTTTCGAGATCTAAGGAAAAATCTGAAAATTGTGACCTCCCCTCCCCCAGCTCACCACCTAGATGTTAGGCCTTTTAATATGTTCATATCCTGAGCACCCCGAACAAGTTTCTGAAGGAATTGCTTAGGTCCCCGTGCTCATGCACTCTATAACTACTTTATTGACAGAAGTATATGGCAATATACAAATTAAAATTTGTATGTGTTTTAAAAAAATAAAAATACCCACCATAAATTATAAACGAATATCCGACCTCCTCACTGAAACTCTTATCGGACTAAAAAAATTTTGTGAGACCCAATTATTTATAATAATTACATAAATAATTAGTATCCACAGCCATAAAAGAAAATAGTAAGTGACAAAAAATGCATAGATTTAATAGATTAGACGAGTGAGAAAAATTCAAAGGTATTAAATATCTTTTTATTACTAGTAATGAATGTGAAATGTTAAATTATTTTAATAATATAGAGATGTTTGACCATGATTATAATATGAAGAGTTGGTCGGGGGAGCTGTCAAATAGATACTATAAACTAAAACTAGTGGCGTAACCAATAAAAGACTATTTTAGTTTATTCCCATATATATTATTACAGTAAGGCTCGAAATCGGTTTTGTACCAAATATAAGCTCCTTTCATGCTCAAATACCATGAATGGGGTACCATTGGATTCAAAATTTCATAGGGGGGAGAGGGAGTAGCGAATCGCCTCTGTTTTTCTTTCTAAAATAAATAAAGTTGATACAAACATTTTGCTAGGCTTCAATAGGAATGGTGGTAAGTCTGTAGATCAATACGGGACAAATCGGGCTTTGAAGATTTTGGTGCGTATAGCAAGATCCAGATAGTTCCTTCGGAACAATCAGACCCTACATTTTTAAGCCCAAAAACGTACTATTTTCGAGATAACACAACGGAAAGAGTTCCCATCCTTACAACCTTACGTTAATTGTAGTACTGTCATTAAATACATGTCTTATTTCGTCGATTTGAAGCCCCCATGATCGAGAAAGGAGTTTATTTTATTTATCGAAGGTGTTTTTTGTCGGCAAGCCAGATCATTATTAATTCTTCACCAAATCTCAAGATTGAGCCAATTTTGAAGGCTTCCTTTTTCTTCAGGAGGGCAAAATAGTCCTATCAACCCGAAAATTCAGGCAACAAAGTTATGAAAGAAAACAAACTTTACTTGCAAACAACTAAAAATTACACACTTTTCCTTTATGTACATGATCATGTAAAACATTACTAATTTCTCTACAAAAGGAAAAAAAAATCATTTAAATCGGACAATTTTTAGCAGATACAGCTCGTTGAAATTTGTAAACATGTTGGTTCCAAACATTAAGGAAGTTTTAAATTAATATTTGTTTCCTTTGTCAATTATAGTAACAATTGATTTCTTTGATACATTGTATTATTTTATTTTCTTATTAATTTTGCATTTGATCACTTAACAATATGCTGTGTGAATTTTTCGCATGGGCCTAATACTAGTATTTATTTGGCCACAGCCCCGACCAACTCCATCTCATGTTAATTATTTTAAATAAATAAAATTGAAAGTACTTCATGTTATCATGTTACACTAACCTTTGTCCTCCCCTAATATTTTCTAAGTGTCAGCACCTATGGATAATAGCTCTTACAAGATCCATCAGCTTTGATACCTTTAATGTGGATATTATACAGGTTAAACACAACAAAACAGTATGAAAAAAAATGTATTATTCGAGTGCAATGAAAATTACTTTCATAATATTTTACTGTGTTTAACATGTAAAGTATCCATAATACAGCTAAAACCTCAGAGGGATCTGATAGGAACTATTAATAGAAGAAAATATATTGAGCAAAATATTTTTATTTTCCGATCACCAAAAAAAATTCTTGTTCAAAAAAACATTTCATAGGATCCGGATGTGTATTAAAATATCTACAATACATACTTTATTCTAATTTTTGTACCAGATCAAGATAACATACTAGGTTTTGTGCAAGTAATAATACCTTCAGATACCCATCCAGTTCAGAAAAAAAATTATATAGCTTCAGTATGAGTACAATTTTGACTGAACGAAAGAGCAAAATGAATTCAAAAAAATTTTTAAGGGATAAAACGAGATTTGTATTTCGCAGCTCTAAAAAACTTTAAGTACAAATTTTCATAACAATCGAAAAATAAAAATATTTTAATCAAAATTTTTACCCAGGTCTTCAAATTTTTTTTTCCAAATAAGAATTGTAATAACTTCAATATGATTCCACCTATCCATGCCAAAATTAACAGGGATTTAAAAATCTGTAAGTTAATCGAAATGGTACAAACCAGATCTCCATAAACAAATTAGAACTGGAGATATAAAATCAAAATGTTTGAGTTATTCTTTATTTATTCCATAAATTAAGTATAAAGGTTATTGCTATGGTTCGAAAGGGCTGGAATTCAGCTTTCCAATGGTTGACCTTGACCATAATAATCAGTTCATCATCAGACCATAATAAATAATAATCAGGAGAAAATCCAGATGATATGAATGCTTTAGTAAGCGTCATGAAAAAATGTTCAATAAAATCAAGTAGTCCAAAATTTTTAAGTTTTAGATTTCAAAACAAATCCGTATTTCAGAATTGCTTTTTCATGACCTAAATTTACTTAGACTACTTACTGGAAGCACCTCTTGGTATTTGTAATATATTATAATAATAATAATAATAAAAGGTTTAGCGAACCCGAAGGTTCGATGCCGACACCACTAATCGCTTATTACACACCTCCCTCCACCGTTCGCCGTCCAAACCCAGTCCCTTCAGATCGGCTTTAATGCAATCTTCCCACCTTCGCTTCGGTCTATCCCTCGGACGCTTACCATTCGGCACAGCAAATATTAACCTTTTAGGAATTCTCTCGTTACTAAGCCCAACAACTTTACAAGCCCATTTGATTCGCCGCGATGAAATTACCTCAATTATATTACCCGGATACAGCTCACGCAATTCGGCGTTGTGTAACCGTCTGAACTCTCCGGTTAACTCATCCTTCTTCGGTCCGAATATTCTACGCAATACTTTATTTTCAAAAACCTTAAGACGCTGATCATCCCTTAATGTAAGCGGCCAAGTTTCGCATCCGTAAAGAACTGTAGGCAAGATAGTTGTTTTATAGATTCTAATTTTTAAGTTCCGGGCAAGAGGCGCGAACTAAGTAGTTTTGTCACAGAAAAATAACAAGCATTTCCCGCCTTCAGTCTAACCTTAATCTCTTCTTCAATTTGGTTTTTTCTAGTTATCGTAGAACCTAGATACCTGAATTTCTCTACCTGTTCAAACATATTTGTAATTTATTATAAATGTGAATTTGTTTTATACACTCAATATTTTTTTTTCACACAAAAAAACAAATCAATTGATATATTAGAACCTAGAATCCTCATAGAGCAAAGGCAGAAAACAATAATATAAAAAAAACATTAAAATTTTATTTTTCTTGGTTTCTAGGGTACACTGGTAAGAACCGCAGAACACAGGTCTGATATTTTTTGACCATCATCAAAAAATATTTCATTGAAATCATTGATCCCACGTCTGTAACCTTTCCTTAAACGAAATGAAGTATTAATTATTTGATAATCAGATGTGCAAGGAGATGATTAGGCCAATATTACACACAACAGCCAGGTTTTTCCCTTAGAGAATTAATTAAGAAAACCTATTTCACAGAGCCTAGCTGTGCTCCCAGAAAGGTCTCCTGAGGGACAATGGGTGATTCCACAAGTGGTGCAATAGAATAAATAATCTGCCCCAGCCGGACTTGCTTGAGCCAGATATCCAGGGAATAGGAAAAAGTATTAATATTTTGAGTTGCAACAGCTAGAAACGATGTGTTGTACATTCCAAAATAACCTAGAATCCTAACTTAAATTTAACAAAATAAAAAAGCTTTTCAATGTACTCACACTTTCAAATATTCTGAGAGATCTTTAATTGCTTCCACTGTTTTACCTTGAGCTTTCAGAATAGCAACTCTCCTCTTCCTAGGGGCAGCATTAGTCTCGTCCCTCTTTATAATTGAGTCCACAAGATTCAATGCGTCGTCATATCTATGAAACATGGTTATAGTTAAATATTAAATTGTTGCTATTAAGCGCAAAGCTAGCACAAAATGTTAAAATTCAGCACCTCTCCAGTGCTTCTAAATGAAGAACTTGCAAAAGAGCTATCCTCACGCTTCCAGGGAATTTTGATGAAAGCACTTGTAAACAGTCAGTTGCAACATCTAGGCGATTACAATCAAACGCTGCTGTGCACACTTGCTCTAATACCAGGTAATCTGTCTCAAATAATGCTTGTATAAGTAAAATAAACACAATAAAAGTAACATTGAGTTGTATAGAGAGAAATCAAATGTATCTCATTAATATACAAACATGACATGCATTAAAAATAACAACAGTACACATCTTACTCTTTTCAATAATAATTAAGAAGTAATAATAACACAATTAGTTTAAACAGAGAATTGAAAATAATCAGGATGAGATTGAAAACATTTCAGAATTACTATCAGGTAAGGAAAATCATCTTAAAGATGAAGAATTGTTATGAATTAAACATAACTTCTTTTTTAAAAAATAAAAATAATCTATAATTCTCCTACATTAAAACACATAAATAAATGAACAGAATATTGACTCACGTTCGTCGCCTAACTTGTAGGCTTTTGGCTTTAAAATATCCTCCCATAATTCAACCAGTTCTATGCTATTGCGAGCATTCTCTTCTCTCCATTTCCGAATGATATCTCTTGCTTCTATAATAAAAATGGAAAAGAATCATACCTATTAACTCAAGTCCTTTGAACAAAATCATGCATAAGAGAAAAACTTTTCCACACTTGCAAAAGTAAAATTACTAACACGGCTAAAAATAACTAAAGACTAAAGTAAACAATTGATCTTAATAAGAATAATATTAATAAGAAACAAATCCAAAGCATTACCTGACCAATGCATTACTACTAAAGAATTATCTGCAATTTGGATCTAAATCACCTATCATTTAAAAGAACTAGGTCGGACGTCAATTAAAGAGAGGAACGAGCCAATATAAACAATAAAGTTGAAAGAGAACTTGAGGAATCGAATGAGTAAGGACTCCCCGAGGTTATCTAACAACAAATTGACACAAACTGGATTGGTCAATTTTTATCATATTTCTTTGCACTGGTTAATCCAATGCCATCAAAATTGACGTTTTAAAAGTAACTTTATTAAATACTACTAAACAATTTAATTGACTTCTCTGGTTCTTATTAAAGTTTGGTTGCATTAAATTTTACAAGTTCTATGTAAAAGGTAAACACTGTTAAAAGTATTGGGAATCTAGAATTCTTTTTAATTTCTTACTGCTTTATTTATTTTTCTGTTTTAACTCATTTATTGATGACAACTGTAAAGTATCATATAACTTCTTCTTTCTCTAGTGCCTTTCAGAGTTGAGCTGAAGCTTGCTTCTATTCCTGCCACTTATCTTTGGTCATTTGACGCATCCAGCCCCACGTCATTCTTCTTATTTATCCTAATCCTTCCAGTTGTTTCCTATATACCATCCTGGGTCGCCCTACATGCCTTCGTCCTTTAGGTTTCGACTTCCTGTACCATTTCATTATCCATACGTGTCCCAACAACCTGAATTGACGCTCCTCTATTTTTGTTGCCCAATAGTCCAAATGAAGTGTCACGTTGAACTTTCTTCCAATTCTAATCCCAAGGTAGGTGACAACCTCACTTGAACGTATTCTTGATCTTTGTATAACAATTGTTAAAGGGTGAACCCTATCAGTCGTGCCTCTCAAGATGATGTTCTGAGTCTTGGCGGCGGCCATTCCCAATTTCTTCATCTATCACCATTCTTCTACTAGTATACCTTGGTACATCTTCCAGTCGGGCTCTGCTGTTCGAGTCTACCTCAACTGCCAGATCTTCTTAATAAGACGTGGCGAGGAATCGCTCCTCTTCCAGTACTCCCTTCGACTCACTGAAGAATAAATTCCACAGGGCAGGACCTAGAACAGAACCCTGGGGACAACCTCTTTCCATAGAGTCTTGTACTTTAATGAAGTTACTCCGTATTTTGAAGTTCGGTACTGAAGATAGTTCCGTAATAGCCCGTACAAGTCGCTGCAAGTTTCATACTTATGCAACTGCTGGAGTACGCACGGCCACTAAACACTGTCGAATTCGGGAAGATCAAGTTATATAAAATTAACTAATCGAAAAATACAAACAGTCTATCACGGTATGACTCTCATTACCAATGTTTTACACGAAGGCATGGTATCCCCCTATATAGGCATTTTAGCTTTAACTATCTGATCTCATTACTTGTATGTAAATTTATATATTGTGTTGTTTTAATAAATATTCCTCTGGGATATGAAAATAAATAAAATTACTGATTTAAGAGCTTCAGGCAAAGATTTAAATTGATCAGTATACTATGTATACCTTTTTGGTTCTCTATCAATCTGAATTTTATTCCACTCTGTGCTCCTTTAATCTTTTATCCTTCTTTCTCTCTATACAAGGTTTGGATACTCATCCGTTCGCTTGTACTCCTACATATTAATTTTGGGGGCTCATGATCATTAATTCTAAGAACTAATCCTCTCATTTGTGGAGTCCATCCAGCGATGTCATAAGGCTAATCCTTTGGCTCATAGGCCAAAGTGATTTGGGGGCTGATCCGTCTGATACTTGAGATCATCTCATCTTAGCATCTTCCTCATCCACTGAGTACTTTTAATTTATTGAACATGCTCTGTCGAGGCCTTCTGATCAAGCTAATTACCTACCTCGACAATGAGAAGACTTCTAGAAATTAGTTGAAGACAGTTACTGCGTAAACAAAAGGAAATTCTTGAATACAGTGAAGGCACTTCGTGATAGGAATGCGAAACCTGTGAGCAATATAAAGCGGAAACCTGGAAGCGTTGCTACTGAAGATCACAAGATAATAGAAATTGGATAAACTTCTGTGAAAACAGATTTTCTAAATACGAATAGTAAAACAATGTTGATGTTAAAACAGCTTAATATAATATGCCTGCTGGTTAGTGACATCACTCAGTATGACAGAAATCACTGTTTCACGTATTTTTTGCTTAGTCATATAATTACAAAATTTATCTAACAATGGATGTAAAACTTTTTAACTGCTTTCAGTTGAGATTTGACTGTTGTTGGTTCTTTAAGTTTTTCTAATATATTTAACCTTCCAATGGTATATTGTATAATCCATCGTCACTGAAAAGGAATCTATTGTCAGAAACAATATATCGTCAGTTAATACAAAAAGTCATTAAGTGCATTTTAATATGATTTAACTTTCAAATTTGTTTTTGTGAATTTCGACTCTATTTATCGACACAAAAACACTCTAAGTAAATAAAAATGAGACAAACCCCCTTGTGAAAACAGTCTTTCAAATAAACCAGATGCATTCGGGACTTTTGATGAACAAGTGTGACCGAAGTGATTGTGAACCACAAGTAGCTCGTGCAGTCCTCATCATACAATTACTACTGTTTCTAATGAAAATTGTGTGGTTCCCACTCCAAATATGATTTTTGAGACTCGGGGTCTCACTCCAGTCTTCTCTGGGATATGATATCTATCTTGAGTCACTTCTGAGCTCCTTGTATTGTTTAGTTATAACCTGCTCATTAGGTGAGCCTGTGTGCACTGTTTCTGATTATTTAATTTTATCAGTCATTTACCTAGAAAAGTATATGTTTCAATAAGATTGAGTATTGATGGATCTGTGGAGGGTTGGCAGGGCCATATCAGATTTTATTAGTGATACTACCCATTGTTCTGTTATTTTAAAGGTACATAAAGGAAACAACAATCTTCATGCCTGAACCTCCACAAAAAATGACAATCCACAATCTTTATATATTTGATAGAAATGGCACACTGTTGCATTACGCAGAGTGGAACAGGTTAAAAAATTCTGGCATTTCAAAGGAGGAGGTAATATTTTTTTATTCATTATACAGTATTTCTTGTCTTTGAAGTTGGGTGCCTATTTCTTATTTTATTTTAGGAAGCTAAACTGATGTATGGGATGTTGTTTTCGATAAAATCATTTGTTTCAAAAATATCTCCACGTGATGTGAAGAAAGGATTTTTATCTTTCAAGACAAATAAATATGCTTTGCATTACTTTGAAACTCCCACTGGAGTCAAGTTTGTTTTGAACACTGATGTCAATGCACAAGACGTGAGGGAAGTTCTTCAACGTTTGTACAGTCAGGTAATTTATAGTAATTTTAGCACTTGAAGAGTTTGTTTATTTTAACACACTAATTTCAAGCAACTATCAATCTGATGAGGGGATGGGATGTTTGAGCACATTGGGGTGTGGGAGTGCCTGGTTCGGGATGTTGTGGGTTCGATTTTTACCTGGATCGGTTACTTTTTATTTCTCGGCAGCACTGGGAATGGGATTGTGAAATTCTCACTCTAGTAAGTACGGGGCGGCAACCTCAAGGTAGCTGTCAGAGGTTGGTAAAAAGGACCACGATAGGGCCCACTTGCTGGACTAGTTCCCCCCACCAGTAGCAGTACCAGTGCGGTGCAGTGATCTGATGAAAACATTTTTTCATTTTAAATATCTTTTGGATGTAGTGATCTTGCTACCTATAGGAATGGAGTAGTAGCTATAAATGTCAATCAAACTATGAAATTTTAAGTGTCATGTCTGAATGAGTTGTGGGCCAAGATTCGTATGATTACATTTTGTAGGCTGAATGACGTTTGGGCAAGATCCCTACAGTTATACTTTACATGCAGTGTCTGAAATATCTGAGTGCATCTGATATTACCAATGTTTATGTTAGTGTATCTTATATTTAACTAACTGTGATTTTGTCTTTTTTACAGTAACATTTACATTGGGTTTTGTCTTGAAATTCACATGTATTTTTTAGCTCCTTATCATTCTGAAATTTCTACTTGTTCAGAATTAGAAACAAATAAATTACTATTTATGCACAAAACAAATAAAAATACATGAATTTTGTTTTTGTTTTAATCTTGTTCATTTTATTTAATTATTTCAATAATTACATTACTTAGTTAGCCTTTACTGATTCAATGTTTCCCCAATTTAATCACTTTTATTATACTTGCTTTCCTGATTTAATCGTTAACTCTATTGACAGTTATTTTTCGTGATAATCCGAAAAGTACTAGGGGGTTGTGAATATCATTATGTTTGGTTGGAAACATAAAGATTACTACATATATTTTGATAATGGATAATCAGCAGAAAATATAATCCAAGCGATATGTCATTTTGTACTGTTATCCCTATTTATTAGTATAAATGCGCGAAGATGATGAGTGTACATTATGCCCCCTTTAATCACTTGAGTAATCTGGAGATTAATGGTTACTTTACTCATTTGGATAATCATAGATATTTTCGTGTTGCAATGTACAAAAACGCAGTTATGTGCATCATGGCCCACACATAAAAAAGAGATGATCCTTCTAAACTAATTCCACTTTAGCCAATTCCACTAGTATATCTTTTGTATAGCACAAGGACACACTTTGAAGTGGAGTTGGACTATCAACTATTTTTGTGTAAACATCAATCAGTATACAGCCATAATCTTGTTAATGTAATAGATAGAGTAGTAAATAATTATAAGGCACAATATAAATGTGGGATGATAATGGCTTCATTGCTATTTCAATGAAAGTATTGCTTAAAGGCCAATGGATGTGATCAGGCCAGGATCACACTCAACCACCAGATTTTTCCTATTATTTAATTATGAGTACAAAGCCAATGAGAGTGGTTGTGCCCTAGGAGGGTCTACTGACCCCACGTTTGATCCACAGCTGATAGAAAATTATTTGACAACAGCTGGATTTGAACCCGGTACCTTAAGCTTAGCAGCCCAGTGCCTAACTTACTAAGCTACTCTGCTCCACCAATAGGAAAGAGCACTGAAATGCTCTAAAATGACATCAATCTCAGACCTCTAGCCAAATTATGAAAGATTACGATTTTTAATCCTTCTTTTTTTGAGTATATTAATGAGTTCTTTACAGCTGTCTAATTAAAAAATGACTGCTAAAAAAAAAATTTAGATTTGCCAAGTCTCTACAAATAGTACAACTATGCAAATGATCTTACAGTTAATGGTAAATTAAGCTACTAGGCCTATATAACTGTGAATTAATAGAATTAAGTTGAATGTATGTATAAGGGTAAGAGTGTGTATTTAGTGATACATAAAAATAGCAACAGTAAAATATAAAGAATAATTTGCGGCCTCCATTAGCACTTCCTAACCTTACTGTGACCTCAAATGGTAAAAAGGTTATATGATGGAGTTTTATGTACTACTGCAAGAACAAGAGTGCCTGACAATTATTCTCTAAAAATTGAATAAGATTTCACGACCTCTTTAACCTTAATGCCTTCTGAATAGTCCTCTTGAATATCGGTCTATTTTGCTTTAGTCTTAGCAGAAAAAGTAATTTAAATAACAAGCATTAAATCCGGAAGGTTCCTCAGAGTTGATTTAGTGCCCCAGGAAGAACCAGCTACAGTTTGTCTTCTCTTTTAATTAATTTGTATTATTCCCAAATTTCTGTTTTATTCCTTCCTAGAGTCTTCATAGATTATGTTTTATCTGTTTTGAACTTATTTTTTTGAAGGAATTCAATCATAATTCTAATTGTCACACCTAAAAATTCAAAGAAATTTCCTTGAGCATGTCAGCTTACTGTTGCTTTTACCCTACTACAGTAGCTAAATATATACTAAACAATATTAAACTAAGTTGGTTAAATATCTAAAAACATGTATTATTTTTGAATGGTAACATCTTTATTCATTTTTAGGTTTACGTTGAATATGTTGTCAAGAACCCAGCTTGTACTTTGGGTGAGCCAATAAAAAGCGATCTCTTCAAAAGCAAATTAGATGAATTTATTAAACAACAGTCATTTTTCCCTCCGAAGTCAGCATAAGGAATTAACTATTTTTTTTTTTAGGAATTTGTGGCATAAAAACAGTGTTAAAAAGTTATGTTACTTTTTATATTATTAGTGTATTACTTCAAAGGACTTGATAATACAATTTTTAAAAGAATAAATATGAAAATTTACCAAAATTAACTATTTACAAAACATTGAAAATTTATAATTACTATTTACTTATTCAAACTGTTTAGATTAAGACTATTATATTATTTAAATCAGAAAAATTATAATCTTAGTAAACCAAAACAATGTTTTAACTACAAATAGAATAGAAATTGAAGAATTTCCATAAGTATAAAACATTTGTTAAGTCAAATTTGTTATTTATTATGTTTATTTTATTTTATTTTTCTAATATTATTTTCTCTCTGTCAATTTACATAAATGTAATGAAAAATATAATTACATTCCCAACTAAATATGAGTAATTGTAACCAAATGCATAAAACGTAAACCCTGTATCAAGTTTTTAAATCTCTTCTATATCTGATATTGGTTCTCATCTGTATCGCCTGCAATCTCAGAAACATTGGTTCCTCAGGACTCAGCAAATAGACCAGGATTCCAAATTTGGTAATGGTAGTGCTTGCACAGTTAATAAATATATTTAAGAATGTGCAGGCCACACCACGTTAGCCTAGTTTGTACAATCGTTTTAGGTCAATTACCAACGTTGTTACCTTAGATCAATTTATCTTGAAATATAAATGTCTCCAGGCTCCATTTATAAAAGAAAATTTTTTATGTTCTTGTTATTTATAAAAAAAGATTTTACAAAGTGCTGATTTTATAAAAACTTACCATTGTTGTTAAATACACTTTTTGGTATTTTTCTTTTTAAGTTTGGACTGATATGATTTTGATTGGATATTGAGCTTAGCCTATTTACAATAAGAAATAAAGATGATCTAGGGTTAGTTGTTCATATACTCCATGATAAATTACAGTGAAAAATATACTCAAGTTCTATCATTGAAAAAAATAGTAGAAGTTTTAAATTTTAATTTTTGAAAGCTTCACCAGTGACTAGTCTGCCCTCAAATTTTCCTAATGATAATGCTTAATAAAAAATAATTGTATAATTTGAAGAATCATTTCTTGCAAAATATGTAATGATGGTCCAACATACTCAGTGATTTCCTTAATGTAATCCTCCTCGAAGCACAACCAAAAAGTAAATTGGATTATGGTAGGTTGAGGATAGAAATTTGCTTAAATCAAAGGGAGATCGGCTTTTGATACTAGTGGGATAGGGAACAAGCAAAAAGATCAACTTCTAGGTCCTGCAGTTTAATGAGAAAGTAGTAGTACCTACTTACTTCTATTTACATTTCCTACAAAACAAAAACGAAGTTCAAGGTGGTGTCTGCATCTCAAGTAACAACTTCGGCTTATTTCTGGTTAAATGATACTAAGTTTGAAGCAGCTAAGCACTTAACATATTTAAGATTATCATTTAATCTAAATGATCTTTGTTGTTGGCTTCTACAACCCAGGGTTTAGATTCAATACTTTGCCAAAGACAATTTTTTTTTTTGTTTTATGTTGTTTCACGTTTAATGATTATGATTCTTTACCTATCCAGGGACAGCGTGGTTTTAATTTAATAATTACTAGTTGTAGAGAACACAACATGTGATCTAACAGAAAGGGATGGCGGCAGTTGTTAGGAGGCTCTAACCGAATCTGTTTAAATGTTAATCAGAATCTCACTTAATAACTGAACTGTAAACAATAAAATATTTTTCAAAATTAAATGATGTTGATGGAATAAAATTAGACATTTCAAATCAGATATTTATTACCAAAACCAAAACATTGACCTATATACATAAAATTTTGTCAGCGGAATACATTTAAAATTCAAAAAATAATTTTAAGTCATTTAAAAGATAATGTTTGTATAACATATTTTCAACACATGTGCAAAAAATATGTTACACCTACAACAAATTACAGATAAAATATTTATAAATATTTACAAAATAATAAGGCACAAAAAAAAAACCAGCATCTATGCTTTTTCAAATAAATACTAAATAAAAAAAAAGAAATTTTTTACACATTTCTGTTTGTACTCAATTCATTCCAGAAAATTCCCACCTACGCTTGATATATTCACTATAATACACGACATTTAGCCTCATTCCCAATATGAGACTAGTTGTATGCCTTTAACAATTCATGCCTATACATAAATATTTATATATAAAATAAACAATGGAAAAAAAAACTTAAAGAGGAAAAAGTTCAATTTATCGAATTAAAAAATAAATTATCAATCGAGAATTAAGACCTCCATTGACACAAGAGGAATCGATAAAATTGCCGGCCTAAAAGTGAACCATCGCTGTCATACGGCAGGAGGACGATAAGATACTATTTACATAAGACATTGGATATTGGGAGAGTCGAGAACACTAATAGCAGGGCTCAGGCCTCCAATGGTGCCAACGAGCGTGTCCTCATCTACTCAGCGAATGGGAACGCTCACGAGCTGGCAGCCTCTGTTCTTCAGGGATCTTGTCGAAGAATGGGTGGCGCATAGCCTCTCCGAGGGTGATCCTCTCTGTAGGTTCGTACTCGAGCATTCTCGCTATCAGATCGAAGAGCTGTCGATGGTCTTCGTCTTCACACTGCTGATACCTCTGTCAACGAGAAACTTATTTTATTAACAATATAACACACTACTAATCATTCTCATTTAGTTATATAATAATAACTGTGAGAATGAAGAGTATATATGAGTAATAACTATTTTAATTTAATTTTTCTAAATGATGTATTATTATTATAATGACTTGAAAAGTTTATTAAAAGTGTCAAAACCAATGATTTTGAGCTAACCACAATAGTCTGTGATACAGACCCCTTTTTATCAAACTATTAACATCCGCCTGAAATTTTGTGAATAGCTTCATCTCATCGTAACCTACAACTATTTTATTTACAAAAACTCTTGGAATTGGGACATTTTCAATCTGGAGGTAGGTGAACTTTATCTATTTAATTAAGTACTAAAAACTCGTAAATACCTATTTCCTTTCTATTTGGATCGTAACATAATTTCATCATAAAATGGATAAAAAGTATTGGGCCGCTTGTCCTATACCTCGCTATTTTGACAATTTGGGGGTATAGGTCACGCTAAACGGCTCAATATTTTTGAAGGTCACATATTTTCTCGATCAAATGGGTATTTATGAGTTTTTTAGTACCTAATTAAATAGACAAAGTTTGCCCCCCCCCCCTCTGGTTTGAAAACGTCCTAATTCCGAGAACTTTTGTAAACAAAATATTTGTGGGTTACGATGAGATGAAGTTTATTTATGAAGTTTTAGATGGATGTTAATAATTTGATAAAAAGGGATCTGTACCATGGACTACACAGTCGGGTACTTGCAATAGAGAATGTGCAGAAAATTGAGATAACATTTTAAAAAATAAAACAAGGTTAAAAGGCCTCTCCGGCAGGGACTGTGGGTGTGGCCTCAGTTCTCTGGTGTAATTTATATATATCCACTTATAGAAGCTAATAAAATAAGTTTTCAACTAAATATTTCTTGGATGGAAACAATATTCGTAAAAGGTCAATGGAATATGCACATTACAATGAGCTAGGAGCTGAGCATGGTGTAGTGCCATAGCTCCATCCCCACCGCTCACCACTTTTCTGTAATGATAGTTAACTTTGGAAATATTCATCAGAAAACTTAGGGACTCTTATGTTTTTATAACTTAGTACTTTTTAATGAATAAAAGTTGAAAATTCATGCAAGTACCCAAATGCAAAGATGTTAATAACTTTTATCTGGTAACAATCATTTCTCAGCTCAGCAAATAAAGCCAATTATCATAATTCTCAATGTTTTTAAAAATGATGGATGATCGCATTTTGGTATGAGGTCACACATGTATATTTTTTACTTTTACTAACTAATATATGTAATATATAGTAAGAGAAAGGATTACGATCGTGAACATTTTAAAATCTGAGTTTTCAAAGGAAAAACGTTTTGAGGTCCCCTGAGTTCAAATAACTAAGTCCAGCAAAATACTGTGTGTGTGTGTTTATGTGAACAGTGTAGCTCGAAAACAAAATTTCATACAAAACTATAATTGTGTGTTGAAAATTTGTACATGCCTGGGATGTTACAGCAACTTTTCAGTTAAAAACGGCTAACAGGAAGTAACACTTTATATCACCGATTTTACATATTTCTACAATTTTCTCGAAAACTGATTTGACCCTCATAGCCGTAGGAAAAAAAGGTGCGATGACTCTAACCATAAACATAATTATATTAATTCGCCATTATCTGACAAAGCTTCGTGTTTATCGGAGCTTGGGACTTTTAATATAACAAATTTGAAGCTGAATAACAAAGTGCTATGAACCCCTGAATTTGTTAACGAAGTCGTGACTTGTTTTCAATTTTGCTAAAAATAGTAAGATCCTTTGGAATCTGACATTAAACAGTCATATGGAAAATAATGTCACATTTAAGAATTCACTTAATACCGTGTGTTTTATCTTTCGAGCAGCTATTGGTCTCATTTGATGCCAATTGTTATTTACTGTGACGTTAGTTTTAAACTGTTCTTGATGTCATAATTTGTCAGAGTATTAAAAAAACATATTTTCTTATCGGCCTAGTCGAAATTTCATTAGATGAGAAAGCATTAAATCTGTAATTGATCCCCTGACTCACAAACGCAGAGACGTGAAGTCAGAAAGGACGATGGGTTAACTATTTTTTGATTGATGCTGTGCCGATTCTTAAATATAAAAAAAGAACTGCTGTTAACATGTAACGTTGCAATACTTACATGAAGAGGCTTGCAGTTATCACGAACGTAGCGACCCGCTGAACTTTTCTCGTCCCAGTCCAACTTGCCATGGTAAAAGTACTTAGTTTTGGTCTTACGGGCCATTCTGTAACAATCATCACCATCCAATAATTTCAAGTTGCTAATTATTTAAAATTAATCATTATAAGTCATTCCAATAAATACTTCTTCAGGCAATTATTAGTTGACAAATTCTATAATTATATTACTCATCTTAAAATAACTACCAGGACTTGAAAATAGGACTCATTTAATATCTTATAGAAAAAATTAGTTGATTTAAACAAGTTAAAAGCCAACGTCATCATAGATTAGGGAATAATCACGGTCAAAGCGATGCTTCCTAGTCTGCGCTACAAGAAGAGAAGGCTACAAGCATCTTACTTACAGACTGGCCATTATTTATTGCACGATCACTGAAGAAGTAGTTATTACATAGGTTAAGAGCATCAATTATGACTGAAGTCTAATATAACAAGAAATAATAAGTTGAGAAAAATATTGAGATTTTTGACTATTTAAAGCCATTATATCTTAAAGCGACAGATATACTTACAAACTATTAACTTTGGTTAATAATTTTCTCAACATGCAATATGTTTTAGATCAAACTAAATATTATAAGATAACAGAGTATTATCCTGTAGTAAGGTATAGCTATATAGGTTATAGTTAGCGACTAATCCAATACCTGTACGGGATAGTTCCAAGTATACGCTCCATCATAGCGAGGTGCTCCCTGTTATCATGTGTCTGGAACAGCGTGATGCCCAAGTACAGCTCAAACATAATACACCCTATTGACCACACATCACATGGCTGTGCCCATCCTAACTCTGTAACAAAAATTATATACTGCTATATACACCTCAAAAATTTTAAATATCACTAAAAGCAATAATAACATATATTTATCCTGTATGTATATATATATATATATACACACACACACACACACACACACGCCCACTAGGTCAGAGTGGAATACCTTAAGTGACACACTAAGAAACTTTTCTTTTTACAAAACTTTATGCTATGCTCAATAATAATTTTTGCTTAAAATTATATATCTCAACTATTTTATGAGCTAGAACAACCTAATATGATTTATTATTTAGAACAAACATTTAACAATAATACGTTAATTTTAATTTTAGATAGAAAAACAGAACATTCATTTCTCCGGGACGGGAAATAAAGAAGATAAACGAAAATTCAAGCCTAGACTTTCTTTGTTCATTATTCATTGCGGAGGTGTAGCCAGCTTCTACGCCGACCACACATGCACACCACTAGCTTTAAACAATTTAAATCATTAACATACCAAGGATAACTTCAGGAGCTCTGTAATGCCTAGTTGAGACAATTGTGCTGTGATGTTCATGATCAAAAGTAGCACTTCCAAAATCTATCAATCGTACATCAGACCTTTTTAATTTCCTGATATCCCTTTTCTGTAAAAAATAATAATTGCATTATATATATGATTAAAAATATTTAGATATTTTATTGCCGAAATGAAATGAGAAATGGTTCAAATCAACTCACCTTCTTTCCGTTATATACAAGCTCATATTCTGAATCGACGAGAAGTATGTTTTCAGGTTTCAAATCAGTGTGTGTCAGCTGATTGTCATGGAGGAACTTGACCGCATAGCTGAGCTGGTATGCTATGTGGCGAACATGCTCCATTGAATATGGTTGATAATTATTGTCCTTCTGGAAGTCAATTTGAACGTTAAAAAAAATAAATGAAGTGTTCTCAAGACTAAAAAAAAAAGTTAAATGGATGAATTTACTCACCAAGAAATCAAAAACACTGAGGCCTAACATTTCGAAACCGATGCAAATGTGCCCATGATAGTTGAACCAATGAACCATTTTTACACAAAGGCTGTAAACAAAAAATGAATAGATTAATAAAACATTAAGTTGACTACATGGTATTTACCAAAAAGGCTTCACACTTTCAGTATCTCTTTAACATAGTAGTGGTCCAAGGAATAAGTCAATAAATTAAAAATATCACATTACACATTAACTTAAATAAGTACCGAAACGACTGGTCCGCAGTTACCTATGATTCAACAAGACATTAACTTTTGTCATCTTCACTTCTTTCTATTAATAAATAACTAAGACTTTGGTGTAGCATTCATGTACTAATAATTGAATAACAAAATAAACATAATTTTCAATTTTCGACCTAAGATAATAATTAATAAATCCACATTCTTCTACTGATTAATCATGATAACTGCAAAAAAAATATTAAGCCCTGTTAAGCGACATCAATGGGGATAAGATCTAAATGATATCAAAGATCACTTAATTATACATAGTTGAATCAAAATCGTTTTTTGAGAAAATTGGAAAAACAAATAAAAAGTGTGAACAGTAAAGACTAATTTAATACATCGTCGATGGGAAATTTATACATTATATATTACATAATACATTCTTCTTCAACTGTAATTATGACCCTGACCATGGTCCAGTTGATTTTTTGCTATTCCAGACTACTGTAGAAATGTACACTAAGTGTAAGTACAGAACTGGTCAGAAAGCAGCAGTTCGTTATAATCTTATAAACAGGATTAGCGGATACAAACAGTAGATTGGTTCGATTGATGGTAAAATCAAAATCATAACATAATAATAAATTGTATAAAATTCTACTCTAGCTAGAATACACCGACAATACATGAAGAATGTGACAGCTGAAATGAATAGATAAGAAAATCATTTTCATAATTTCTAAAGTAGGGGAAATTTCAATATCAAACAACTATGAGACTAAGAAAATATGTTATCTTTGTATAATTTTTTAAAATCAAAGATGGGACATAAGTTAACAATGTTTGCATTGGTGTTATGACAAGTGAGTTTTATCGGATACAATTGGCCATTTCCGGCAAAACATTTATTGTGATTTAAGTAATCTTGGCCCACCTGCCATCCGGACATGACACCTGTTACCTAATACTTATGATAATGTAGCATCAACATGCTATTTTAAAACAATAACAAAATAAAAATCAACTCACTGTTTACTGGTAGGATCCTTTTCAGCCAATTTTTCTAGGACATTTATTTCGAGCCTGGCAGCATCTCTGTATTTTTCCACATTTTTTATTATCTTCAGAGCCATCATTTCATCTCTTCATTAATAAAAAAAAAAGGGTGTTAAATAATTTATTTTTTTAGATTTGCAATACAATTATCAAGATACCCTGATGACACTATGGTAAAGCACACAAATTAATAGTATTAAAGATCACGTTCAATATAAATGACCTCAAAATATCAACCAAGTTGAACCTTATTCTTTACAATATCTGAGAAACTAAATAAAGAAACAGCGACAATAGCAATTATAGAACAAAGTAAACATAATACATCAAAAGTAGAACTTACGTTTGCATATCTTTGACTTTCACAACTTTTCCAAATGTTCCTTCGCCTAAGGTGGCTTGTATCTTATCTGTAATCGATAAAGTAGCAAATTATTGTATTAATTTAAATAATATACCAAATAAAAAAAAAGAGCCAGTAGCCACCAGAAATAATGTTATATCATTAGTCTAAAATTTTACACATGCAATGAAAAGTAAAACTCTAAAGTTATCATTAAAAAAAAAAAGAATTTGATAAATAAATGAAAAAATTAAAATAAAACTGAACATAATCATCAAATATTTTTTAGTCTTAAAAAAAATTTTGTTTTAGTAAAAATGCTATGACCATATTTTCAAAAATTGAGAAAAATAAAACCTAAATATTACTGAATAATTAGATAAAAGTAATATTTTAGGGTGGCTACTGGAAATGAATAATTGACGTGTCAAAAAATCAACTATTTTTAAGACACGTAAATTGATCTCAATCCCATACATTGATATAGCATATAATGAAATAATTTTAAAAATAAGTATGGGATATGAGAGAGGAAACAAGGCTGATACAATGTTTCATTGGGGGCAGTGTATGTATCAATGTTTTTGTTGGGATAAGTAATTACGTGATTGCAACTAAAGAGTATCACGAACATCTGCTTTGTAGAATGTCCCCGTGTCGGTATATGAGGTGACCATCTTCGTCGTCCTGTATGGATGGCGCTCTCGCCGTCGAAGAGCTCTGCCGGTCGCAATTCATCGGTCCAGTCATCATCGTCATCATCATCATTGCGATATCAGCAGCAGGTCCATCATCGGTTTCCATCACCCGCAGCACCACACAGGGTAACAGGGACACACCACCGAGTCGGAGGAGGTAACAAACACCAGCCGGTACCCCAATGGTCCACCAATCGATCATAGACAGAGGAGGGAAAAAGGCAAACGGTTGCCAAGTTAACAAAACACCTTGTTAACAAGCTTACGGAGTCATTAATAAAATTTCTTTTATATTCCATCAATTACAAAAGGATTTAAAAAAAATAAAATATATATATCAAAAATGAAAAAAGGACACAAGTTTAACCTTGTGTCCTTTTTCACTCTCAAACGCGAACTTAAATAATAATAAAAAAATGATAAATTAATCAAAATAAGATATAGAAATATAAATATCAATAAATAATAAATATATGAGATATTATAATATAAATAATAAAAACTAAACAATAGAAGGAAAGGATGAATACGAAACAACAAATAAAGAAAATATAAATAAAAGAGGGAACATGTTAATGGGAGAAAGAAGGGAAGGGTACTCACCGCCAAGGCTATGGCTAGCAAACCGAGAAACAGGCTATATTTAGTTCATCGGTCATCTCTCTTCCACCCTCTCTGTTACCTTCTTTCATTATAGCGCACTCTCAGCTGAGCACATCTCCTAAATCCGTTCATATCTCTAACTCGTCTATACAATTTTCCACACTTAACTCGGCTGCTTATCGGGGTAATTTTAATAGCAATAATCAAATCTATTCACAATCATTGGCACACAGCCAAGCGTCTAAATAAAGAGGTTTGGAACAGATTCAATTTTAACCGGCAATAGTTTGTTGACAAAGAAACAATATGCATTTTGTTTTTATTTAATTTTACTTCAAATAAAATTTAGAACAAACATATCATGATTTATTATTTAGGCTACAGTAGCAAAATATAATTATCTACTAATTTAAAATTATATATATATATATATATATATATACATAAATTTTATGGTTAAGTAGTGTAGATAACATCAAAATAGATTATTATGTTTTAAATAATGTCGATGTAACTACATATTAGCCTTTAGAGGATAAAAAAACCAATACAAACTAAATGAGGCAGTGTGATTTAACATCATGCTTTGTAACAAATATATTTCGGTTTAGTGGTGTTTTATTTATTTGACCGCATCCCCAACCCATTCCTTATCAAAAATGAGAACTAAAAAGTGTTAATAAAAAACAGAGTTAAGGAAAACAAACAAACTGAACACTGTTGGTTAAGCAAACCTTTATTTCAAAATAGCAACATATTACAATTAATAGTTAGGCAAAAGTTTCATACATGCTCACAAAAAATAACACATTAGTTGCTAGGAAGTCTTTTAATAGTATATATGTATATAAAAAACCTTCAATATAAAAAAATACAATTCAAATTTATAACAAAAACTATTAACTACTAACACTAGCAGATAAACCTCATTTATCTCATGTTCCTCAACAAACTGCTCTAATTAGTGCTTTATTATTATTAGCCAACAGAAGTACTCGTACTGGAACTGTCAACGTCTCCCTTGGGACTGTTCCCCTTTTGCAGGTTCATTACAGGCGAAGATAGCTATTTCAAAGGGAAATTCCAACGCTAATGTTGAATAATACTTTTCAATAAGGTTTTTAATACTTATGTAAACAACTTGTTACGCATTTTAAAAAGATAGAACTAAATATGGAAACTATTAAAAATGACGGTTTAATTCTTTTATTTTGTTTATAAACATTTGAATGGCTTCCTATTCTCATAAGGCCCATTGCCTAAATTCTAGTTGAAACTGCCACGGGCTGTTGAAGGAAAAGTATATTGTACATTCAATGTAATATCAAAACTAAATTAAAAAGTGTTGGAATTAGTGTGAGGTTAAAGATTCACAAAATAAGGATGAAACTGCTGTTTTGATGTACAAGAATGTATCTATGTTTACTCTCATAGTATATTATATATTACATTAATATACTATGAGATAAACTCTTGAACATTAAAATAACCGTTTCAGCCTTATTTAGTGAATCTTTAACCTCACACTAATTCCTACACTTTTTAATTTAGTTTTGATATTACATTGAATGTACAATATACTTTTCCTTCAACAGCCCATGGCAGCAATTTCTTCACATTGTATCATTAGCATTAAATTGCATACTATAAATACTCGATATGTGTATCATATTTTGTACATGGGCAAAACATGCAACATCGTAACAGTTATACAAGACTTTTCATTCAATTGAATATCAAATAAAAAATAAATAGATAAAAATACTAATATTGTGATTTTTACACTATCATTAATTTTTTTAATTAATATCTACCTAACATTTGATTCATTGGCTTTACATGAGCACACACGAATGCACGTTACATTTATGCGCATGCACATATACACGAGATATCAAACTGTTAAAACTATAAGTGGAGGTGAGAGATATGGTTGAGATTAAATATTAGAATATATATATATATATATATATATATATATATATGAAAGAATAATGGAATGTTAGCAGTCGACTGGACTGTAAAAGCAATTCAGGTTTAATTTGAAACCCAACAACCAAAGTTAGTTGATTAAGTTAGCAACAAATAATTAGACGTTTTTTTGTTTAAAATTGAAATTTGGAAATTTTTGTGAATATATTAATCTACATATTTATTTAATGTAACATTCTGTTATTCTTAAGGAACTTTGTCGCAGAATAAAGTTGTTTTTCTATTTATCTATTCTATATTTTCTGGATATATCGAAATGTAATTAGTAATTAGTTTTTGGTACACTTTAGGAATTTTACAATAGGTTTTGGTTGGTATGAGTTAATGCTCATGATAATACAACTTACAACCAAACAATTAAAACAGCAAAACCACTATTGTACTTATTCATAAATAATAATGCTCTAATGTAATACCAAATGGCAAAGCAAAATAATAATAATGGAAAAATACATATAATTATGATGTTGAAATTTTAAACTATCTTAAATGTTTAATTTGTTAACTTGCATAATTGTTTAATTGTTTGGTAAGATACAAGCGTACAAGAGAAATGTTAATAAAATTGAAATTTGTACAACAGTTTATTTATAAACAGTGTGCATTATTATTTACGGATTTATCATAATATGGCCGAGGTATTTAGGAGAGAGGGGGAGAAGGGAGTATAATCCTCAAAATAAATAAAAAAATAGTTACATGAAAACCAAAAACTTAGAGGTTATGTATATTGATATCTCAACATTATTCCAAAATTAATTAACAATTAAGCCATTCATTACACAACTCTTTAACATTCACAAAAAGCTCAAATCAAAATTTTCCGATATTTGCCAATTTAATTTTTGACTTTATGTTCCTAAAACCATTTTTAACTAGGAATAAAATGTTGATTACATAGATTTTTTTTTTACTCAGATTTTTTTTTTTTAATTTTCTCAGAATTGAAATTACTTTTAAACAGTCAAACTATAATCAGTAGATATTTTTGAAATACTGAAACTAACCTAATGAAACTATTTAACAAGGTGATGGGCAATAATTGTGAATCAACAGCTTCTACTTTTACCCTCATAACCTTCAGAGCTAGAACAGCTCCTTAAAAAGGTGCCAGGCCCCTGCCAGTATTGGCTTTCAAAACACCACACTAACCGCATTCTTTCACAACCTCCACTCCTCCAGCTAACCACAACCACACTACTCTTATGATAAAGATCAGAAGCAGCGGAAGTACCCCACTTACAGACTGGGTGAGAATGCCCGAATACTTTTGCCGACACTTGGCAAGGGCTGTCACTTCCTCCTGCGCAGCCTTGTCTTCCAGAGAGCAATACTTCATTATCAACGACTGGATCTCCTTCCTCTTGGCCGCCCGCTCCGTCAGAGGCTCCTCCTCAGTGGGGATGTCCAGAACCACAGGTCTCAGCTCACTCTGCGCTCCGCCGCCTAAAGACTTCCTTCTCCTGAACGGGGTCTTCTCGCGAGCCGTCGGTACCGTCGCAACGAAGGGGTACGCCTTTTCGGCCAGAACTACCGTCGTGGCGCTTTTCGCTAACGGCGCGGGTCCTTCCTCATTGAGGTTCCTCACTAGCGTAGTGCTCTTCCTCCTCGATATTTCGACGCCCTTGTTGACCAAGACAGTTTCCTTCCTCGGCCCTTCCACCGCTGGCGCTGCCTTCCTCGCAGGCCTCACTGCTTCACCACTAGCGACGAAACTGCTCTTCGAGAGCCACTTGGCCGCTTCCTGCTGCCCCTCGACCCTCTTCCTCCCCGTCGACTTCCTGCCGATGGACCGCTCGGCCCTCCCGCGGGGCGCCGCCTTGAGGCAGCGCGGGGTCTCGTCCTCCTTGGCCACATCGCCGTCGGCGAGGGCGGAGGGGCCGCGGACCCTGCTGGTTATCCTCTGGATGAGCGAGGTGCAGGACTCGCTGAGGAGCTGGGTGACGGTGGAGGATCGCGAGTACCGCGACCTGACACCGCTGTTGGGCCGACTGCTAGTCATCGCTCCGCGCTCACCTCCCACACCGGCCGCGACACAAGACTGAGACTATTAATACTCGGCTCGGGCCCGATCCAAATAGCCTTTACGCAAATAAAAACCCATTCCCACGCGGCCCCCAGTTCGTTCCGATATTTTCTATCAACAACTATTTCATATTACGGACCAACCATTAAAGAAAAAATAATAAATGAAAACCAACTTAAAAAAAAGTCGTTGTTTAAAGAAGTCTGTATTACCTCACTACGAATAAATTCGAAAACACTTCAAATCGTTAAAATGAAAATACTGTAAACAACGAGCTGTAATACTTAAAACTTTTCAAGATACGAATAACTGCAACGAGGGACCTCCCATCTACGATCTAAAATAGACGCGGAAGAGCGGTTCTGACTAGGCACATGGCGAGTCCAATTTCACTTCGATCTACGTCGTTGACTCTCTTCTTAAAGCTGGGGCAGGCTAGTTCAACTATATGCTCAAAACAACAACCTGAATGAAATATTAAATAGCTTCACGTCGTAATATTAATAATCGATTTTAGACATTTCGATATCAACGAAATATATAACTTTTAAAAAATCACTGCCTGGGTTAAAAAAAAAAAAAAAGAAGGAACAATGTATAATAAAGACATATAATTGCTAAATAAATATATACACAATAGATAATGTTATGGTATACTCACAGGAGAGGAGAGATCGTCCATTGCTTCCCGCTCCAACTCGGCCCCTAAACAAGACAATATACCCAGGGCAGCGATTCTTTAAATCGCGAACCCGACTCGAATATAATTCATCGACCGGTCCTCACCTCAGACCTCAGCCTCATGGCTACAGTTCTTTTGTATATTTCGTAAATAACATGTTGACAGATAACAACCCCTCCCCTCCCCCGCACCGCTACAGAGGCAACAATGGTTCCTGCCTTTAGAAGAGTAAACTTGATATTTCTAGGTTGGACGGATGAAGCCTCAATTGACAACGAGCAGAGGCCATATTGAAGTAGCCATAATAGTAAACACCTTAACTTAATGAAAAAGTTTATTAAAACAGGAGATTCGGATGATCTGAATGAAGATAATCCTTTCACCTTAGACCGGTGGAAGAGAGATGAGCGAAGAGGGATGATGGGATACGATGCCATAGACAACAAGAGGAGAAGACTATTATTATAGAGATGAGATAAGATAAGATATATATATATATTGTGGCACTCACCTGAGAACTGGAGGACCTCGAGTACGAACTCCTGTGCCTGGAAGAGCGGTGCCGGGAACTCCTGTGCCTGCGGTGGCGCCTCCTCGAGGTGGGCGACCTCCGGTGCGACCTCTTGTAGCGCCTCTCCGCCGAAGTGCCCCGCTCGTGCATCCTCGACCGCTCCAGCCGCTCGTTACTGGAACACAAGAGACACGTTTCAAGCCTCCTCCACCGGCTCCATCCAGCAGGGGCGAAGGACCCCCCGCCATCCTCGTCTTAAACATATCTTAAAACCCGAACACTTTTTTCTTTAGGATCCCTACCTTTGGAATCTTATTTGCATCGCCATGTCGAAAAATAATTAAGTTACAACAACAACAAGTATGACAGTTTTGTTTTTTTTTGTTCTTCTCAAATCTGTAATCCTGTTGGCAGGCAACTCGCGGTGCTGTGGTGCACACGTTTTAGTCTATTAGGCCATTCCGCCCCCTAGATATTGACCGTTGTCCATTTTTATCAAAATAATTATTTGAATAAAATTGAAACGTTAAGAGATGTAAATTAAACGTTACAATTGTTTTAACGAACCTCCCCCTTCAAACCCTGCGTTCGCTAGCAATAACTAATACCAACGATCTAATGCAACCAGAAGTTGCATTAACTGGCTTATTTCTGATCGATGGATGTTTAACATCATATATTAATTTTTTAAAATACATATTTATTAATCATTATTCTACATAAAATAACAAGGCGTTTTATTTGAAAATAATAATCTATTAGTATGCTAACATTTTAAAAGAGTTCTTCGAACAACATTTGTCCCTAGAGTCAAATTGGCAATTCTTACTAGAAATGGGAAATTCGATTCTTAAGAACGATTCTTTTCATCTTCCTTAAATTAAAAAATAAGTAAAAACATAAAAACAGTAACAAACATTCTCAATCCTTACGGCTATTCTGGCAAAAAAATTTTTTTAACAGATTAAAATTATAAGTTGTGGATCAAATCGTCGGATTCGTGTTAAAGTAATGAATGTCCAACGATAAACAGACTCACATTCATTACTTTAACATGGTCTCGGCGAAATATATACAAATAATAAAAAGTCACGATTCTTAAATATAAGAAGAAAGTTAAAAAAGTTCTTTTTATAATTTAATTATCCTGGAAATGATGACCTTGAGACAAATTATAAATACAAAATAAATAAAACATTAAATTATGGTCATACGTTGAATTAAATATTTACATAATAAAAGGTAGTTAAAAATATAAAAGTACAAGAAAAAATAATTATAAAAAGAACTTTTTCTATTCTTCCTATAATTAATATATATAATAAATTTAACAAACAGACAGAAAAACGAAAAAAAAAAATAGTGGTGTAAATAACAATAGGTTATAAATGTCCGGAGAGCGAAATTCTCGTGGAAGAGTAGATTCCACAAAGTAAAAAAACAACGAAGTACGACTGAAACATTTCCTAGAACAAACCTGGTGAGTCGGGGAATCTGTCGAATCCTTCTGAATCATCGATGAATTGGGTAATCTACTTAAAGCTTTCATTACAAACAAAATTTGAATACTGAACATTTGATCCTCAGAATATTTATATATTTTTCAACTTTATTTTTACATCCACGGCCTAACTAATACAACTAACTAGATGGAATTATGAAGGAGTTATTACAGGTCAAACAACAATAAGGGGATCAGACTTTAAGTATACAAAGACTAGATTGATATTAAAGTCATCTATTCGTAAAATGCGATATTATTTAGTTGCCAACGCGATATTTTAGATATAGCTCTGAGAAAACAATAAGTTGAAATAAAAGTAAGAGGATCAAACAAGGTTAGTATAGACGACAGGTAAGCTCGTCATTAATATTTGACATGTCATTGTTCCAAAAGTTGGAACATATATTAAACAATTTTTTTTTGCAACTTAATCATTATTTTTTATTATTAATTTTTTTCCATCAAAACAAAGGTTGAAATATTTTTTTTATTTTACAAACAATTATAATGTGTAACTATAATACATAATGCTAATAATGTTTTATATTTTTATTGAATATCTAAAAAACAATTAAGAAACAAATTCCTTATATAGCCTGATCCTTCCATTGTTTCACTTCCGAAACAAGTTAGAAAAGCACAAAGGAATTTTTTTAATTTTTTTTTTTTAGAAAATATCTAAACCAAACCATATTGAGACCAATATTACAGAAAAAAAAAATTCTACCAGAATTGAGGGGCGGCGTGTAAAAGTTTAAAACAACTTTATAAGCCTTATTCAACATCTCCTGTATTAATTAGGACAGAGTAGGAGAGTTTGTTTTGACCAAGCTAGCCCCCCCCCCTCGCCCCCCTCGTTGGGAGCTATTTTGAAAAGTGTAAACCCATCCAATCTAGATTTTTTTTGTTTGTTTCCCAATTTCTTCGGGCCAGCCGCCAAAACCTCTCTTCTAGATGCAAACCGATCAGACCTGGGCAAACATTATACCACGTCAGGAGGAGTTATAATTACCACCACAATCAATTAATTTCATATAAATACGTACGGCTTCAGGCAGTTAGTTCCGATAAATACTATACTATGCAATTAGATTATTTATTTTATTAGAAAGATTAAATAATTATTTAGCCAGAGGACCGCTCCCGGTGGTAGAGTACAACAATACAATAACAATATCGGTTGCACAACTAGCCAGAGAGAATAGAGAGCGGTGATTGGTCAATCAGGGCCTCTTAGCTCCGCCGGTTAGCCACCCTACCAATTTGTTAAGTAACCAAACAAATATCACGCTTACTCAAAGCAAATCAGATCTGGTTCAAGCTAGAAATACGGATTAACAGAAATCCAATTCTCGAGTCAATTATTATTGCGGAAGCAAACTATTTATTGAGGTGTAATTTTATTTTATTTTAACATTTTCGAAAAATCCCAACAATTGGCAAACCATCTTTTTAATAATTTATTAACAGCCAAAATTCCATAACGTTGGCAACAAATCACATGATATCGACGTTTTATTAATTTAGTTGTAAGCTCTAGAGGATAAGGTCAACTCAAGCCTGAGGTGAGCCCCATCATCTTTTATATTACAGATGAAGAACGAAATACTTAGAAACGACAAAAATCTAAAAATAAACCTTACAATGCTTTTAAGCAGTAAAAGGACTATTATTAAGACAATCCAAGGATTAAAGACAAAAATGTGTAGAAAGGGGGATATGAAAAGAAAAAAAATCTTTAATAAAAATGTTGGAGACATTTTCAAACTAAAGCTATTGCACAGGGCCAACTCGTGCCTCTCTCCTAACCTTTGAAAAGATAGTCCCTTCAAAAACTATATTTACTTAACGTAATGAGGTTTTTAGGTTACAATGATACTTGTATATCTTTGTTTTTAATGCTGTGCTGGGCTCATATATAAATTATTGCTTTCATTTTATTGATTATTGGATTTATACAGGTTTAACAAACAGCTACCTCTTTTTTTTCTTTTTTTTTTTTAAATATTTGTATATATGTAAATGCATTTGATCTTGCCATGTCTGGTGGCGTAATGGAATCCAATTCTAAACCAACAAAATAAAAACCAAAGTTGGCGAGAGGAATGCGTTTAAGAAGCAAGCGATAGAAAATGTTAAAGGGCTTTACTAAGAAAAATCTCAGGTGAATGGAGAAGAAAATTGTAAAAATGTGTTGTAAAAGGTACAAAATGAATAAGTCTATATAAACAGTATGTGGATAGAAAATGTTCATTGTGAAAAATTTCTTTTGAGAACTT